TGTGCCAACTGCTGTCAGGAATTATGGCTCAAATTGGTTATTTTGGGATGTGAAACCAGCTTGAGGTTGGCACCAATGACTTAATGCACTTGCAAGAAAAAAACATTTAAGTGAAAGTCAATTGTGTTTCTTCTTTGGAAAGTCTCTTGTGAGAGTAAAGCTCAGGTGGCTTCATCTAGCCAAGATTATACTCAAAGCTGAGTATTCTAAAGACAGAAATGGAAAAGTTCAAGTCAATGAATTGGGGATTTTGTTCAGTTTATGAAAAGTTGAAAACATAAGGCAAGACTGCCTTATAGTCCCTCCACATCTTGGACTGAGGGGGTGGCTGTGAAGAAAAACTTTATGTAAGTTTTTCACCTGGCAAGTCAGCTCTGATCGATTGTCCCATAGTAGGCTGGTAAAACTCCTCTAGTGTCCCTGGGATTTGCCCCACCCTCTCATCAGAGTTTCTTCTGGAATGCTATTATCCCTCCCCTACTCCGCAGGATCTGAGCCAACATTTCAGGTGAGTAGAGGGAGACCACTACTCCAATGTCAGCACAGGAGGTTTGTGGAAGTTTAGGGAGAATCAAGCTCTATGTATATCAAAATTCAGGGCAGAGCCAGCATTTTAGGAAAAATTTATATTTTTATAGGTTGTATCTAGGGAGGTACCTCCTAAAATCTAACCTTAAAAAAATTCAAGTGTATTTTCTTTTTCTTTTTCTTTTTTTTAAAGATTTTTATTTATTTATTTATACAAGCACTGGATACAGTCAGAAGTGCGGGAGGATGAGAGAATTCACCAGAGCCAGAGCGGGGAACAGAACAGACAGACTGACGAAATACACTGCTGAGGGGAGCAGCGGGCGCGGCAGGAGATATCTGCGCACCATGTGGGACCCTTGCCAGCGGCTGGGGATCGAACTGGCGCTGCAGAGGCTGTGGGCAGCTTTGCAGCCCAGCACTCAACCTCTGCGCCACCAGGGGAGGCCCAGTTCAAGTATATTTTATATACAGCAAAACACTAACATTTTTTAGGTTCAATCAGTTTTGATGACTGCAAATCAAGACAAAATATTTTCATCAGCCCTGAATGTTCTCTCATGCCCTTTCCTGGGCCATCTCCATCACAACTCAACTACTGCTCTGTTTTCTATCACAATAGGTTAGTTTTGTTTAATTCGATATGTTTTTATAAATGGAATCATGTACTATGTGCCTTTTATGTATTTTGGTTCTTTCACTGATCATAATATTTTTGAGTTTTATTCATGTAAAATTTTTTATTGTTGAGTAGTAGTCCTTGAATATACTTCAGTTTTGAGTGTACTATGGTTTGGAAAAATTCCCTTCCCTGTTAATGGGCATTTAGATTGTTTTCAGTTTTTGGCCACAATGAATACAATTGCTGTAAACATTTTTATATGAGGCTTTATGTATATGTCCCCCCCTCCCCTTGTATGCCTCAGATCTATAGCTTGTTGCAAATTTTGTCTTTTTCCTAAGCCTTTGTTTGGTTTCCTAAACCTCTATATTCCACATGTAAGTGAAACCATTCAGTATTTATCTTTTTCCTTCTAACTTAATTCATTTAACATAACCTCTTCCAGCTCCATCCATGTTATTGAAAATGGCATGAGTTTATCCTTTTTGATAGCTGAGTAGTTTTCCATTGTGTATATATACCACATTTTCTTAATCCATTCCTCTATTTTGGGACATTTGGGTTGTTTCCACAGCTTAGCTATTGTAAATAGTGCTGCATTAAACATAGGAGTGCAGGTTTTCTTTCAAATTAGGGTTTTGATGTTCTTTGGGCAGATTCCTAGGAGTGGAATCACTGGGTCATATGGCAGATTCATTTTCAGTGTTTTGAGGAACCTCCACACAGCTTTCCATAGTAGTTAGACCAGTTTACATTCCAACCAGCAGCACAAGAAGATTCCTTTTTCACCTTGTCCTTGCCAGCATTTCTTGTTTTCATTTTTCCCCTCTATGGGCCATTTTCACAGGTGGTATCTCATTATGGTTTTGATTTGAATTTCCCTGATAACGATTGATGTTGAATATTTTTTTTTTCATATGCCTGTTGGCCATTTTCATCTCTTCTTTAGAGAAGTGACTTTTTAGCTCTTCTACCCATTTTTTGATTGAGTTTTGTTGAGTTTTGTAAGATCTTTGTATAACTTTGATATCAGTCCCTTATCAGTTGTATGGGGTACAAATATTTTCTCCCATTAAGTTGGGCGTCTCTTTATTTTGGTTACTGTGTCTTGTGATATTCAGAAGCTTTTTAGTTTCATGTAGTCTAGCTGTTTATCTCCTCCTTTGTTTTCCTTGCTTCCAGGGATGAGTGTTCAAAGATGTTTCTGAGTTTATGTCATGGAGTGTTTTGCCTATGTTTTCTTCTGTATACTTTATAGTTTCAGAACTTACATTCAAGTCTTATATCCATTTTGAGTTGGTTTTTGTGCATGGTGTGAGAGAGTAGTCTAGCGTCATTCTTTTACATGTGACAGTCCAGTTTTCTTAGCATCCTTTATTGAAGAGGCTTACCTTGTTCCTTACCAGTGTATACATTTTGCTCCTTTGTTGTAGATTTGTTGACCATATATGTGTGGTTTTATTTCTGCGCTTTCAATTCTATTCCATTGGTCTGTGTGAACACTATATATTTGTCAGATGTATTGTGAATATTTTTCCAGTCTATGGCGCGTCTACTTTCTTGATGGCATATTTTGGTGAGCAGACGTCTTAACCTACCACAAAGTGTTAAAGACCTTTCTCTTAAGTTTCCTCCCTCCCCAACTTAATTTTTCCTTTTATATTTAAATCTATGACTCATCTCAAGTTGACTTTTGTGCACAGTGTGAGGTAGGAGTCAAAATTTTTTTTCTCTCTCATTTTTGGTATGGATATCCAGTTGTTGAAGAGATTTTCCTTTCCCCACTGAATTGCTTGGCGCTTTGTCAAAAGTCATTTGAATGTATATATAGGAATTTATTTCCAGACTCTCTATTCTATCTCAAGCTCGGTTTTCTAAGTATTGGTAATGATTTTGAATGTATGGATTTATATTTTAGGTACACAGAGGTGTAGATGTCCCAAAGTAAGCACCTTTTACCACTTGAAAATGTGTGTGTGTATGTTCAGTGAACACAAGGTCACTCATTTATTTACTCATCAGCCAGGGCAGAATTAGCTGTCATGAGAGCAAAAACAGAGGGAAAAGAAAGTATAGAAATGTAGGTCTGCCAGTGTTGGAAAAGTCAACTATTTCTGAATCCAAATAAGCTGTTGCCTTTCTACTTAAGCCTATTATTTCAAGTGGTGGCAGTGTAGCTGCCATAAATTTATTTTTTATTTATTTATTTTTTACTGAATTCATTTCTTTTTTTTATTTAAATATTTTATTTTATATAATTCTTACGTCTTTTTTCATCTTTGCACAATGTATGAATTTTCATTTTGGTTATATTCTCCATACAATTGCACCTCCCCCTTATTTTGACACTAGTCCTTCCTTTTCCCACCCCTCCCCCCACCCTGTAGTGTGTCTCTGGTTTATAGTTGCTTGTTGATTTCGATTTTTACTTTGTATTGATTAGTCTTTTTCCTGGTCTCTAAATTTAGAGAGGTAAAAATTAGGCCACACTTAATTTTTCTCAATTAGTTGCAAATTTTCATTGAATTCTTCTTACCCATGTATATGGCGCTTGGTGTCTTTCCGCATTGTCCTGGCTCAAGTGAGCCACTGTTTCTGTCTCAAATCTCTTTGTAAGGACCCATATTTCCTTAGAACTCAGACTCCTAAGTTGTCCTATTGTTGCAGCTCCTGATGATTCAAGGGAAGTTACCATTTGTAGTATTTCCAGCTTTGTCTTGTTGTTGTGGTTGGACTGAACTTTCCCAGGTTTTTATATCCTAGGTGAAAAAAGAACTCCAAAGAGTGTGGTGTATAAAGGCTCCCTTCACTTTATAAAATAACCTTTTAAAATATCCTTTTAAATCACAATCCTTATTACCATTCCATTCCAATGTGTTTATTTATTAGATCTTACTCATCTACCTCTGAACTTGTAAACCTTGGCTCCTGGTGTTGTGAATTGGCATTTATTTTTATTCCCAGTAGGGCCTCCCCAGTGGCAGAGCCGGATGAGCGCGGCACTGTGGAGCTGTCTGCAGCCTCTGCAGCACCGGATCGATTCCTGGCTGGCTGGGGAGAAACCCACATGGCGTGGCAGACCTCTCCTGCCTCGCCCACTGCTCCCCTCAGCAGTGTTTGCCGTCCGTTTGCCTGTTCTCCCTGCTCTGTCTCTGGTGAATTCTCTTACCCTCCCGCACCTCTGGCCTGTACCCCAGATCTTGTATAAATAAATAAATCTTAAAAAGAAAACTTTCACAGACCTAGCACAATTAAAAGACCATGTTTATTGATTAATCGATGAATGAAATGTCCTTGACCAGTCTCACTTGACAACTTGCCTTTCAAGACCAAAAGCAGTGCCACCTCTTCTGAGAAAGCTCTGTGAGTTCCATTTGGAAGAGTTAGTTGTTCTTTGTGTCTCCTATTTAATGGTTTGTATACCCCTTCACTGGTGTGATGATGATTTATATCTTTCAGTCTAGCATGTGAATTTTGGGGGAGCATGAATCAGCTCTTGTTATTATCTTCACATACATAGAACAATGTATGTGAATTATAACTTAATTTGTTAAATGGATACATAAAAATAGATTTTCCAAATGAATTATTGCGTAACTCTGTTGAATGATTATACAAATGGATTTACAGTTATGCTACTTTTATTGACATGATTCATAGCACAGAGACACACTCTTTGTACCCTCTTGTAGTAGTGTGTTTATATGTGAGTATGTATTACCTCTTAATTATGTAGGTAACTGCATATAGGGCAAAGATGGAAACCATGTGATGCCTCTACCACCATTTTCTCCGTGTGTGCCAATGGCAGACAAATGGTTTCAGTTTTTTTTCTCCCTATTTATTCCAGGCATAAACTCAGAAACTTACCTTCCAATGACAACTCCACCAATGGACTGAACATGGAATGAAGATTATTTTTCCTTTCCCTGATCTAAATGATTCCTAGGAGGTCAACCTTAATACCTTTACTGGATGGAGTCTAGAGGTAAGATTCTAATGCCCTGCAGACACTTTGCAGATTCCTGTCTTTCAGAACTTAATCACATTTGCATTTTGGCTATGATCAGATGGTGGAAACGCAAACTCCAAAGTGTCAATCAAGTTGGGCCTCTTTTCCAACTTTTACTAAATCAATTTCTTCAAAAATATTTGAACACCAAAATGATACAACTACGTTTTAAACAATAACAAGTTTTTGTACTGATATACTGTCCTATACTTGATAATCTGGAATTATTTATTACTAAAAATCTAGGAGATGTGCTTATGAATACGTGTGTGAGTATAAGCTATCATATGTGAATTGAAGTGTTCATGAGATTTGGGAGAGAAAAGAGGAGAGGTATTTACTGAAAATATATTCATTTTATTGTCCAGTTTTTGCCTTTAAATATCAGTAGAAAATTTTCTGCAGCATATAGATTTCTGGCATGTAATTTATCTTCAAAACAGAAATTAAACCTAACCAGTTATAAATTTGAGTTTCTTTCTGAATTAACCATGTTGGCATTACCCCAGCTACCTCCTTATGTTCATATGGTTGCTTCCAGACTCTATGTGGAATTTTATGCCTCTGTAGTATCAAATTTGTTAAATGGCATATTTTTATATCAGTAATTTTTATAGCATATTGTTATTCCAGACTTTTACATGCCTCTAATTTATTCTTAACTTCAATATAGCGGTATTGATTTTTTTCTTCTAAGTTTGATGGTATGAACACTTTAGTTGTGACTTAATGTCATTTCAATACCATCTCTAATTTGTACTTCACTTTCTATTCTTTTGCATACTGGATATTTGGACAGTTACAACAGTAACTGTTAATGCTTCTCAAGTTTCCTTTTTTTATATCTCTGAGAAAAATCTAGATAATTTTTTAATATGATTGAGATAATATGAGTGTTTCTGATGACCTTGGATTATCTATGATGCTTAAATGCAGAATAGCAAGGCCATTTTTGGTTGTAAATGAAACAGAACCTGAGATAGCATTGGTTTACACCCCCTTAGATGTTGTTACCACATCACACTCACCACCAAGACACCCATAGTCCACCACCATAGTTCATTGTGCACAATTTGGGCTTTTTTTCAACCAATATTAAATACCTCTGTTTTTATCCTGTCATTATGTGCTATACTGTCTTCATTTGCATGACTGTAAAGTATTCCATTATGTGAACTATCATAACTTACTGTCTACGGTGAACCTTTGGGATCATTCCAATTTTTCCCCTTTATAAATGATAATGTAAAGAACATTGTAACACACACAATTTCTATTATAATTGTTCAAGAGTTTCTTTGAGATGGGTATCCAGAAGTGACTCTGCCGGGTCATAGAATGTATATCTCTTCAAATGTATAGGTAATTCTAACTTTTTTTTTCAAAGTGATTGGACCAAATTATGCTCCAACCAGAGATGTATAAGAATTTGAGCTGTTTTACACCTTTATCAATGCTTGATATTATCAGATAGTGTAATTTTTGTTATGCTGCTGGGTGTGAAATGCTTTCTTATTTGGTTTATATATTATTATTTATTATATATATTATATATTATTATTATTCCAATTAATGAGGCAGAACATCATTTCCTATAGTTTATTTTATAATGAAATGCTTATTCAGGTCTTTTACTTAGATTTCTCATGAGTTTTCTTTTCCTTATTGATTTGTAGAAGTTTTTCTTTTTTTAAAAAGATTTAGTTTACTTATTTATGCATACAAGAACTGGGGTGCAGACCAGAGGTGGAGGGTGAGAGGATTCACCAGAGACAGAGTGGCGAGCAGAACAGGTGGATCTACTGAAATACACTGCTGAGGGGAGCAACAGACAAGACAGGAGAGATCTACTGAGCCATGTGGGTTAGCTCCCTGGCCGGGCATCGAACTTGAGCTGCTGTGGCTACAGATAGCTTCATAGTGCTGAGATTTAACCCCTTGAGCCCTGATTTGTAGAAGTTCTTTATATAATCTAGATGTTATTCTTTCAGTTTTATGGGTTCAAACATCTTATTCCATTCTGTTTTTTTACTATCTTCATTTAGTAATAGTTTAGTGATAAACAGATAATCATTTTAATGTAGTCAATTATCAATTTTTCCTTCAAGATTTATGCCTTTTGTGCTTTTTGTTAAGTAAGATTCCCTTTCAAAGTATTATGGATATTCTCCTACATTGTTTTCTGAAAATGTTGGAGTTCTGCCTTCCACAGTTAGGCTTTTAATCCCCCTGGAATTGACTTGGTACATGATGTGAGCTAAATATTTTCCTTCTTTCTTTTTTCTTTTAAGTAAGAATAACCAACGATCCCAGAGCAATTTATTAAAAATTCACTTTTCCTCCACTGATTTACAATGTAAGTCCTGTCATAAACTAAGTTTCCATATATGTTTTGGTCAATTTCTGGGCTATGTAATTTGTTCCTTTGGTTAATTAGTTTGTCATTTTGAAAATATCATACTTTCTTAATTTTTAAACTTTATATGAAGATTTGATATCTTATAAAACAAACCTCAGTTTGGGCCTCCTTTGGTGGCACAGGTGGTTGAATGCCATGCTGTGAAGCTGTCCACAGCCTCTGCAGGGCCGGTTCGATTCCCGGCCGACCAGGGAGCTACCCACATGGTGCAGCAGACCTCTCCTGTCTCTCCCACTGCTCCCCTCAGCAGTGTATTTCATCAGTCTGCCTGTTCTGTTCCCTGCTCTGTCTCTGGTGAATCCTCTCACCCTCCTGTGCATCTGGCCTGTACCCCGGTTCTTGTATAAACAGATAAATAAATCTTAAAAAACAAACAAACAAACCTCAGTTTGAGAATTAAAACATTTTTTTAAATCTATCAAATAATATATAAAACATACAAAATCACATAAGTATAGGTGGTAATGAGTAGTGCTCAGAAGACATCTAAACTTTGCTTCCTCTACTTATAATGAAGTTTCCACACAAGAAAATTTCTTAATAAATTATTTGAAGAGGGAAGTCAGTTTATTTTTGCTTCATACTTAGCCTGGGGTATAGCCATTTGAGATCTCGACTTTATGGAAAGAATTGCTTTTTAAATTTCCCGCCTTCAGTGGTTCTTAAGAGGTTATGAAAACTTAAATTCAAAGTAAGCTGGTTAGCAATGGTGAAATCCAACTTCAGTGCTCTCTCTTTTTTCCCAGAGTTTTTGCCTTCATTTAGTTTTCAGACTGGGGAGTTCTTATTTTCCTATGCCATAAATTAATTTGAGAAGATATATGCTATTTTTGCCATTTAGTTTTAGTATTTTAATTATTAAAAAGCTAATTTTAGTATTTAGTCCACCATACTACTGGAATGAAGGTTTTAGTAAATTACCTTTATAAAGTCTGGGTTTAAATGAGTGCATAATATAATAAAGCACTCTGTGAATACATCAGCATTTATTTTACAATTAATATATATTTTAATGTATTAAATGAATTCATTTATTAAGTTAATATACCATGTTACTTAACCATTCCCTTTTTATTGGGCATTTATCTTGTTTCCAGTGTTTCTCCACTACAAAAATATTATAATGAAGTAAAAAAATACTGTAGTGCTTCCTACTAGTTCTGCCAGCTTTAAAGCCACACGTTTTAAAAGGGACATTGACAAACTACAGGTGGGTGGTGAGGAGAATGAAGCAACTAGTGCAGAGATTGGTAAACTATGGCCTAGGGACAAATCTAACCAGCTTCCATTTTTTATAAGTAAAGTTTTATCAGAACAGAGCCTCATCTATTCTCTATGGCTGGTGTCATAGTAATGCAGGACTGAGTATTTATGACAGAGGCACTTGAAAAACCTAAAGTATTCGCCATCTGACTTTTTGCAGAAAAAATTTGCTGACTCCTGATCTACCTAGCACAATCTGTGCTGCATGCTTGAAGGAAATGGAGATCAGGCTGAACACAAGTCTTTTATCACAAGGTGAAAGAGACATACAATACTTAATAAGAACAGTGTCTAATTCAGTGCTCACATGTACCTGCACTTGTAGGCATTATTATATTCTACAGTGAATAAAGATCATCTTCCCTACTAGGTTATGCATGCCTCAAGGTCAAGTTTATAATTCCAAGTTTAATGTTCTAGCATCTAGGAAGTATCGTCTTTGAGTGAATGTTTCCAGAATTAAATTAAATTAAACAGACCTATCAAGTAGAAGAGATGAACATCCATTCTCAGAGAGCAGAAGAGAAGTTTCAGAGAAACAGATTTTAGATCATTGAGGAGAGTTGCCCCATGATAGTCATGCCTGAGAGGGACTCACAGATCCTGCCACTCACCTCATGGATGTTACAGAAGGATTTCTCACTAGGACTGAAAGTTGAACTAACTGAAGTCTTGAATTCTAGGATCCTACCATTTAAACTGGGAGAGAGAGAGGATTAGAACTCAGAATTTAGGTGTTATATAGTTTGCTTTCTACTGTATCACACTGCGTCCTTTAGCATTTCCACAACAAGAGCCATGAGGAGATTGGTGTTGTAGTAGAAAGAACATATCAATAAGCACCAGGAGGTTTTGGGTTATAATTCTACTTTTGCAACTAATGTACTGTATGAGCCCCGCAAGTCCTTTAATCTCTCAGGGCCTAAGTGTCCTTTAGTGAGGGGGCTGGATTAGATAATCTCTAAATTCTCTTTCAGCTCTAAAACAATTTTATCCAAGGATTAGCAGGGCCTCTCCTATTGAAAGTACAGAACGACTGGTTCAAACAAGATGTTTCCCTGTTATGTATTGCCAGAGCCCTGAGGTTCTGCTATTAAAAATGGGTTGTCACCCTCCTGATCCCACCCCAGTCTCAGTTGCTCAGTTCATTCCTTTTCTGTATCCCTCTTCCCAACTTGATTTATGGCACTTTTTTCTCTCAAGAAATTTAGGTTTAAGTAGGCTGATTTTAGTTCCCTTTAGTGTAGTAAAGACAAGTTCTATCTTGTTAAATTCTGCTCCTTTGGCTGATGGA